TCAAGAATGTTGAATCGCTGCCCCGGATTGATGATCTCTTAGACAGGGTTCATGGATGTAAGTATTTATCCAAGATAAATTTGAAGTCTGGGTACCACCAGGTTGAGGTACAACCGCAGGACCAACACAAGACGATCTTTAGGACTCGTTATGGCCACTACGAGTTTGTTGTGATGCCGTTTGGATTGACAAATGCCTCTGCAACATTTCAAAGATGCATGAATGATTTTTTTAAAGATTGGTTGGATAAGTTTGTTGTAGTTTATTTATATGATATTCTGATCTTTAGCAAAAGCTTGGAGGAGCATCAGAATCATCTGCGTCAGATATTGACCAAATTGCGTGAGTCTGATTTCAAGATTAACCCGAAGAAGTGTAAGTCGGCCAAGCGTAAAGTCCTGTATTTGGGGCACATGGTAGATGAAGATGGAGTGAGACCGGAGGACGCCAAGATAGCAACAATTTGTGACTGGCCAACCCGGCACACGATGACTGAGTTGTGGTCGTTCTTAGAACTGACCAATTACTACCGGAAGTTCGTTCATAACTTCACTTCCTTTGCTGCTCCTTTGCGCCGGTTGTTGTGGAAGGAAACCGTTTGGAATTAGGACAAGGATTGTACATCAGCCTTCAAGGAATTTAAGAAGTCCCTCATCGAGTAGCCGGTCCTTGAAGTAGTTGACCCATCCTTACCGTTTGTTGTAATTACCGATCCTAGCCAGTACGACCTTGGCGCTATTCTCCGACAGAATGATGGAGATCGGTATAGGCCCGTTGAGTTTATGTCTTGCAGGCTCCCTAGTGAGAAGGTAGCAACATCGACTTGTGAGCATGAGCTCTTCGCCCTCGGACAAGCTTTAGACCATTGGCGACACTTCAAGGTATACTCAGATCATGAAACTTTGCGTTGGTTGAAGACCCAGACCCGCATGACTCCTAAGTTGACTAGGTGGGCCGGGGAAATTGATTAGTTTGATTCTGAGTTGAAACCAGTCAAGGGTAAGTACAACGTTGTGGCTTATGTATTGAGCAGACGTGCAGACTTATTTTGTGAAATAGTGACTTGCCTAGATGTTGCCGCAGATCTGCAGCAAAAGATAAAGGCTGCATACATTGATGATCCCGTGTATAGTACGCTGATAAAAAAGGTGCAGACCACACCTCGAAAGGTCCCTGATTTCATAATAGACGATGGACTACTGTTAGAGAAGACTGATGTGCATGATAGGCTCTCCATACCGTGTAATGAAGAGGTATGTAGTCTGATTCTAGGGAAATGTCACGATACTAAAGGCCACTTTGGCTGGCGGAAGACCTATGCTACCTTACTAAGATCCTACATTTGGCTATGCATGAAGCATGATTCTATCACCTACATCCAAGGCCGCCAAGTATGTCAGAGGAAAATGAGTTAGCGAGTTTCACGTAGCCTCCCCTCGGACTGTTGAAACCCTTGCCTATCCCATCGGATTCCCGTGAATCTGTATCTATACATGTCATGGACACAAAGGTCGAGAGTAGTAGTAGGAAGAATCAGGTCGTGCTTGTACTTGACTTGTTTAGTAAATTCGCCGTTTTTGTAGCATTGCCTGCTGAAGCAAAGACATATCTCGTCATCAAAGAGTTCTTTAACCATTGGGATACAGTCACCCGTTGAGCATAGTTAGTGACCAGATACCCGGATTACAGGGAACAGTGGCAACAGTTAATGAAGGTCTACAGATCTAAGTTAGCTATGTCATCTAGTCGCCACCCTGAGACAAATGGCAAGACCGAGCTGATGAACAAGATTCTGCGTATGTACATTAGACCAGACAAGGTCGATTGGATGAGCATCTTCCCAAAGTAGCTAGTGCGTACAACAACTCGGTCCACCTAGCTGCCTCGTGGATCCCAAATGAGCTGCATAGAGGCTGGAGTCCCCAACATCCCATAGACTGTTTGAATCCGGATCAGATCCAGAGACTGCCATCTGGCACACATGAGCTTGCCATTTAGTATGAGAAGGATTTGCAACGTGCGACTGAGAACATCCGAAAGGCCCAGTACCAAATGATGGACCAGGCGAACAAGCACAGTCTTCTGTCACAATTTGCAATAGGTGATCTTGTCTACGTCAAGTCTAAAGAGTTTATTCCCGAGGAATGGATTTTGCAGAAGTTGCTACAGAGGGCCGTGGCAAGTGCTAGAAGTCAAGGGCGACGCAAATGGACCGTCATACACCATCGAGATTCCACCCCATCTGCACACCTATCCCGTTTTTCACGCTTCTAAGCTCCTTCCCTGTGTGACTAATGATGCATTTCCCAGACGCAGATCTATGATTCCACCTGATATGGATCTAAGATATGATGTAGAGAAAAATGTAGCTGAGGACACCTGCCGTACAGGTCGTAGAGGGAGGCCACATAATAGACAATACAAGGTCCGATTTGCTTATCAGGATCCCAACAAAGATCGCTGGTTCACCAGGGATGAGTAAGTTCAGACAGTCCCTCATATAGTGTCATACTACGAGTGGGCACACAGAGAATAGAACATCTATGATCGTTAAAATTCTGATTTTTCTTGGGGGACCTCGAAATTAGGCCGGCGGGAGTGAATGGATTCACACTGCAAGCTTTCCCAGTCCCGGTTACGGGGTCCTACATCATCCCAGTCCAAGGCCCCCGTTGATTAGAACCTTAGGGCCTGTAGGATCAGGCGTCGCAGGCTACTAGCCTACAATTTTGCAGCAGCCCCACAAAAAAGTTGAGAACTTTCCCAAAAAAGCAATTTGGCAAGGCAGAGGCCGAAGCAGGCCCAATACCAATTGAAGCTGGCACGGAACAGTCCACTGCAACTATATATCTTGGACTACAGTGTCAAAAGGTGTCAGTTGTTCTTTTCACAAATTTGTGGAAGCGCTGCGGGAGCTTGTGCGAACTAGCGACCTGGATGAAGAATAGCGTTGAAGGGAGAAGAAGACCAGTGCCCCCTGGCTGCAAAAGAGCACCATAGCCAGGAGAGGGGAGACACAGTGCTGGGCGGTCATAGCCACCTGTTTGTGGAGAGGCACGCCGCAGGAGGCATTCAGGGTAGATCTAGGACATAGGGAGGCGAGGAACAGTAGCGGGGAGCAGCAAGGGTGAACAGTGCAGTATAGTGTGTGTGTGTGTGTGTGTGTGTGTGTGTGTGTGTGTGTGTGTGAGAGAGAGAGAGAGAGAGAGAGAGAGAGAGAGAGAGAGAGAGAGAG